TCCCACACCTGATAGTAATCATCAGCCTCGTCCTTAGCCAGGGCCCAACTGTTGGTGAGAGTGGCCGTGTTCCCCAAGTTGGATCCAGAGAATCAATCAGAGATCCCCGAGGGCCTCTCACTAGACTCACAGATGACCAGCACAGGGGCCTGGCCTAACTTCTGCTGGGAGCAGTAAGCGTAATGGCTTTCTGTGCTCTCTCCCTGGCAGGTGATGGTGGCTATCTATCCTGAAGGCCACAGACACGGCAGGGGGCTGAGTCAGCTCAGAAGAGGCCACAGAACCCACAAGAGAGGAGAGGAGAGGTGAGTGTGAGGATGAGGGTCTCATTCTCAGAGGGCAAAAACCCTGCAGCCTCCCCTCTGCAGAGCTGAACGTCAGGGTCAGGCTGCTCCCTGGTTTCTTTGGGGGCTGAGCCATGAAGGGCAGCATCTGTGCAGAAAGTGAGGAGGTGGAGCAGAAGAGGGGTCCAGGCCATGGTAGAGATGTCCCAGCATTCTGCTTCTGAGCTCACAGCACTGCTAGGCTCTACAAAGACAGTCTTATTTTCTTCTTGTGTCTTTGGGGCAGTGAGGGATGGTGTTTACGTAAATTTACCCTTCGTCTGGGGCTCCTCATTGAGATGGGGAGTCACTCAATCCTGCTGTCATGACAGCCAGGTGACTGAGGAAGAACAGCTTTGAGTCCCCCAGCTTGCTCCACCTACATCTCAGGTCAGAAAATAAGTCATAACCCATGGTCTGAGATCACAGTCACCTTCCTGGGGTCTGACCACATGACCACTGTCCCCTAACCCTCCTGGCCTGTGACCTGCTCTTGGCTGGCCCAGCAGGGCTGTGGCCTTCCAGGAGCCTGGTCAAGGGGCTGAGCTAGGCCCCTGAGAGATAACTTACAACACTGACTCACTGAAGGTTTGCCATGGACCCATTGTCTTCTTCCTCCTCTTTAACATTCTCTCTCTGTTCCTCAGGAATTTTTGTCCCCATCCTCGGCATAGTTACCTTTGAATGCACTTGTGCTGTTAGAATTTTTATTAACCATTTTGTGTGTGGTAGTTTCCTTGTTAAACAACTACTTGCTTTCCATCACAGCTTCTAGTCTCATTTTACGTCTGGTGTTTGCATGGCTTCTAGGACACCTCTCATCCCACAATAGACCAGCAAACGGCATTGGCAATTATTTAATCCCTTTGTTTTCTTTCATCAATATTTTATGTAAACTTCTTAGAATTTCTAGTAACCCAGCCCTGGCTGAGACACCAGTTTATGGCTCCATGCTCTCTATGAGGGTCCTGAGGGTCATGTCTTTGTACAGGGTGCAGGCTCTTGGGGCTGGATGCTCGAGGTCCCTTCAGAGAGGTGGATCCTGTCTCTGAACCAAGGGCAGCCTGGTGAGCAGTGCAGTGACCTGAGGAGCGAGCATCCCCTTCACTCTGGACAGTCTCCTGAAGGAGGCTGCGGACGCTCCATCCAGGGACTAGGGGCTCCAAGGGCCCCATCTCCCCCTCTCCCTCAAGATGACCCTGAGCAGAGGAGCTGCAGCCCTGAGTTGGAGTCTCCCTTGGGGTGGGTAAGGAGAGGCAGAGGGTGAGTAGTCAGGGAGTGTCTGGACGTGCCCAGATAGAGGGGTCAGCTCCCCAGGACCACTGGTGGAAAATGATTTGACCTACATTTCCCAGGTGAGGCACTCACTGTGCCCAGTTCCCCTTGGTGAACTAGGTGTCACTGTGTGAATTTGGCCCTCAGAACGTGGTTACTGCAGCTTAAGGGGATGGGAGGGACTGTCCTGAATTTCAGTCTGTTCCCTGACCCTTGGAGAACCTGCTGACCCCCACAGCTGTTGTCCTTCTGAGTGTGCACCTCGGCGGCCCCAGGTTCTGTCCTGGATGCTCCTGGCTGCAGCTCTGCTGCCCCCTGCTGGTGGAGGAGAATCCAGACTTGGAGCTTCCCTGCTTGCAGGACAGGCAGCTGTGTGTGGGTATGACTGACCCTTGTGCTGGGCTCACAATAATCGGAACAATATTTGATGACAGTGACTCAGCACTGACCATGTGCTGTGCTTTTCCCTGTGCGGTAGTTCTGCACAGAAGAACTCATTTAGCTGCAGAAGCACACTTGGAGGGGAGTCTTTTTCATCCCAGCACAGGCTCCTAAGCAACGCACATCCCCGCAGAGCCCAAGTGAGAAGGGACCCTGGGGAAAAAGGAAGCCCTGTGACACAGCCTCATATATTGTTTTCAATACACCTTCCCCTTTTTCTATCATTGGGAGACTCCCATTACCTCCCTAAGTTTTTGCATACAGTATTCCTACAAATGAGTTATTCTTTGCTCATTTAAAAAAATATTTTCTCTCTCTAGTTTTGTAGTTTCTATTACTATGTCCTCAGGCGCAATCATCTTTTCTTCAGTACTGTCCTATCTGACATCAATCTCATCCCTTGCATTTTTGGTCTGAGATATTTTGTTTTCCTATCCAGAAGTTTGATTTGTCTATTTTTATTGTCTTCCATGTCTCCACTTAACAGTTTCAATCATTTTTGGACATAATTTGGATGCAGCACTGCCATATCAGCTCTTACCTGAATATCCCACCTTCCTGCTTGCCCTACAGATTTCAGGCTTTCTAGCCCAATGATTACATGGGCCACTTCCTTAACTTCTCTCTCTCTCACACACACAATCTATTACTTCATCTATCTATCTTCTCTCTTTCTATCATCTACCTATCTTCTATTGGTTCTGACTCTCTGGAGAACTCTCAATAATACACCTTATTAGCCAAATCTTTTTTGTTAAAATAGTTTTTTTAGAGTAGTTGCTGTAGGGTCACAGCACTAATCTTACTTATCAAGGTCTATCCTCCAGCGCTGTCACTTCACATGTAATATCTGAATATTTTCCCATATTATTCTCTTCCCCCAACTTTTCTGCTATTCTTGTCACAAATTTTATTTTGACATTCACTAAAAACCAAGGCATATTGGGTTTTTTTTTTTTGCTTTACACAGTTATCTCTTATAGACATTAACATAATACAAATGTTTCTATATTTATCCATCTAGTTATCATCTGATGCTTTTTATTTCCTCGTGTAGATTCACCTTCCTTCCTGTTATAACATTCCTTCTGTCTGAGGGGTGTTTGTTACTAATTCTTCTTGTGGGCGACCTATTATGTAACTTTTTGCATGTCTGAAAATGTTTATTTTGCATCATTTTTGAAAGCTATTTTCACTGGACAAAGGATTCAGTGTTGACAGAGTTTTTTCTTACGTTTAAAGATATGTTTTTGGAAACTTTCCTTTTAAAGACGTTGCTCCACTGTCTCTTTACTTGCATTGCTGTTAATGAGAGACCTGCTTTTACCATTATGTTTGTTCCTCTGTAGGTAATGCGCATTTTCTTGAGGCGGCTTTTAATATTTTCTGCTCATCACTGGTTTTCAGAAAATTGATTAAGATATGTGTTGGTGCTGTTTTCTCTTGTTTCCTGGGCTTGTGCTTTGTTGAGCTTTTGGATATTTCAGTTAGTGTTTTCACTAAATTTGCAACATTTGTGGCCATTATTTCACTAAGCATTCTTTATCTTCACCCCTCCCTGTTTTCTCTGCTCTGAGACTCCATTACACACATATTAGGCTGCATGAAATTGTCCTACAAATCACTGAGGCTCTGGCCATTTTTCTTCGTTTCGTTTTGAATAATGTCTACTTTTATGTTATCAAGTTCAGTAATCCCTTCTTTTGCAGCATCTAATTTGTTGTCAGTCTCATACGGTGTGTTTTTTTTTTTCAGTTTTTTTTTTATTGAGTTATTGATAGGTTACAATCTTGTGAAATTTCAATTGTATATTAATGTTTGTCAGTCATGTTGTAGGTGCACCACTTCATCCTTTGTGCTCACTCCCCACCCCACCTTTCCCCTGGTATCCACTAAACTGTTCTTGGTCCATAGTTTTAAATTCCTCATATGAGTGGAGTCATACACAGATTATCTTTCTCTTGCTGGCTTATTTTACTTAACATAATTCTCTCAAGGTCCATCCATGTTATTGCAAATGGAATGATTTTGTTCTGTTTTGCAGCTGAGTAGTATTCCATTGTATATATGTACCACATCTTCTTTATCCATTCATCTGTTGATGGGCACTTAGGTTGCTTCCACGTCTTGGCTATTGTAAACAGTGCTGCAATAAACATTGGGGTGCACAGGACTTTTGGGATTGCTGACTTCAGGCTCTTTGGATAAATACCCAGTAGTGGGATGGCTGGATCGTATGGTAGTTCTATTTTTAGTTTTTTGAGGAATCTCCATACTGTTTTCCACAGTGGCTGCACCAGTTTGCTTTCCCACCAGCAGTGTAAGAGGGTTCCTTTTTCTCCGCAACCTCTCCAACATTTGTTGCTATTAGTTTTAGATATTTTTGTCATTCTAACGGGTGTAAGGTGATATCTTAGTGTAGTTTTGATTTGCATTTCCCTGATGATCAGCGATGATGAGCATCTTTTCATGTGCCTATTGGCCATCAGTATATCTTCTTTGGAGAAATGTCCGTTCATGTCTCCAGCCCATTTTTTGATTGGGTTGTTTGATGTTTTGTGATTGAGTTGCAAGAGTTCTTTATATATTAAGGATATTAAGCCTTTGTCAGATATATGACTTGCAAATATACGGCGTTTTTTTTAATCTCAGAAATTGCAGTTTTCATATCCGGAAGTTAGATGTGGTTTTGTTTGAGTGCTGTCCAGGTCTTCATTTAACATTTTCAACCATCCCTGAGGCTCCTCAAACAAATAAAATATTGTTACAATATTAAATTTTGTATCCTCTCCTAATTTACACCCTCTGCAAAATCTGCCTGGAGGGTTGGGAGGAGAGGGGAGCCTGGGGATTTCAGATCTGGGACCTGGAACAGACCTGCTCATGACTTTCTCGACAGTCCTCCTGGGGCTGGAGGAGAGTGTGACACAGATGAGGAAGAGGTTTCTGTCTACTTCCCCATCAGCCTGTGTCACTGTGAGCATTAGCACTGCTCCACGATTGGCAGTAATAGTCAGCCTTGTCCTCTGTCTTGGCCCCTCTGATGGTCAGCGTGGCTGTGTTTCCTGAGTTTGAGCCAGAGAACCGGTCAGGGATCCCTGAGGGGTGCTCACTATCCTTATAAATGACCAGGGCAGGGGACTGGCCTGTCTTCTGCTGGTACCAGTAAGCATATTCATCCTCGAGATTATCTCCAGAGCAGGTGATTGTCGCTGTCTGTCCTAGGGCCACCGAAGTTGAGTGTGGTTGCGTCAAGTCATAGGTGGTCACAGAACCTGTAACAGAGGAGAGGAGATGAGGCTTGAGGATGAAGGACCCTAACCCAGCAGGTCCCACCCTGAGACTGTGTCTGGGCTGAGCTCAGGGTTTGGGGCAGGCCCACCCCAGGGGCCTGTGGGGCCTGAGCCTCTGGGCAGGGCCTGTGGGCAGCACCTGTGCAGAGAGTGAGGAGGGGAAGCAGGAGAAGGGTCCAGGCCATGGTGGAGGTGCCTAGAGATCTAGCTCCTGAGACCTAACAGCACTGCTGCCTTTATGAGGACCCTCTTCTTCCCTCTCAGTGCTTTGGGGCAAAGAGTTTTTGTGTTTATGCAAATTTGCTCCTCATCTGGGGCTCAAAATTGATGAATGAACATACATCATTCTTAAAACCTGCAAGATACAGGCCAGCTGATTAGGAGGAAAAAAGTGGAGTCTCCCAGCTTCTTCTAAGCTTCTTCTCATGTCATAAAATCAGCCATGGACTCTGGGATGCATGATTACATTCACTTTCATGGGGTTTGGCCACACGACTGCTGTCCCTAAATATTCTGGCCTGTGGTCTGTCCTGGGCTGCCCAATGGGGCTGTGGGCCTTCTAGGAGCCTGGCCATGGGGCTGAGCTTGCCTTCCTGAGAGATAACTGACAACACAGATTCAGCTGAAGGTCTTCCCATGGGCCCCATCACTTCCTTGTCCTCCTTCTTGTCCTCTCGAAGTGTCTCCTACACAGTTTTGTCCCCCTCGTCCACATCATTAGAATGTGGGTCTGTGTCATTAGAATCTTTGTTAATGATCTCACATATGATAGTTTCCTTGTTAAAAAACCACCCACTTTTCTAGATTCATCCCAACTTCTAGTCTCATATTATACATGATATATGCACCCTTTCATCATCCCACAATAGGCTAACAATAGGCATTGTCTTTGATTTTTTTTTTAAATCATAAATATAAACTTGTTAAAAGCTCCTCTAACCCAGCCCTGGCTGAGACACCAATTTATGGCTCCATGCCCTCTATGAGGGTCCTGAGGGTCATATCTTAGCACCGGGTGTGAGCTCTGGGGACTGGATGGTCAGTGGTCCCTCCAGTGAGGTGGATCCTGTTGTTGAACCAAGGACAGCCCAGTGACCAGAGCTGTGACCTGAGGAGTGAGTGTCCACTTCACTCTGGAGAGTCTCCTGAAGGAGGCTGCGGATGCTCCATCCTGCTGCCCCGCCTGTCCCCTCACACTGAGATGACCCTAAGTAAAGAAGCTGCAGCCCCAAGTCAGGGTCTGCCTGGAGGTGGGGATGGAGAAGAAGAGGGTGAGTGATCAGGGTGTCTCTGGACGTGACCAGGACAGAGGAGTCAGCTCTCTGGGGCTTCTGCTGCACAGTCAGTTGACCTGCATTTCCCAGGGGAGGCACTCACTGTGCCTGGGTCACTTCAGTGTCCTGTGTGTCACTGTGTGAATTTGACCCTCAGAATGTGGTCTCTGAACCCTGAGGGGATGGGATGAATTGTCCTGAGTTCCAGTCTGTGCACTGACCCTTCCACACGTACTGACCCTCAGGGATTGTCTCCCTTGTGGCTGCTCTTGGGCTACCTCAGCCTCTGTCCTGGATGCTCCTGGCTGCAGCTCTGCTGCCCCCTGCTGGTGGAGAAGAACCCACACCAGGAGTTTCTTTCCTGGGGAACACGCAGTAGTGTGTGGGTGTGACTGACCCCTGTGCAGGGCTCTGAATAATTGTAACACTATTTGGCAACAGGGATTTGGTACTGACCATGTGATGTGCTTTGCCCTGTGCCCCCGGCTTTGACCACAAGAACTCATTTTACTGAAAAAGCACCTCTGAGGGGGGAATTGTTTTCATGCCAGCATAGGCTCCTAAGCAATGCACTTCCCAGCAAAGCCTGAGTGAGGAGGATCCCTGGGAATAAAGGAAGCCCCATGGTGATGCAGCCTCAGCTTGGGGCCAGGAAGCAGAGCCTGAGGGGTGAGCAGAGCCCATGGGTAAAGGATAGAGGGGGCTGGAATCTCCTGGCCCTAGATGAGCAGGGCCAGTGAGTGGGATTCTCCAGTGACCAGCTCTTCACTGTGACAAAAAGGTCGGGGCTCCCGGAAGAGGGGGCAGCAGCCCAGAAGCCAAGACCTGGAGCTCAGCTCTAGGAGGCAGTTTATGCCCAAGGCATGGAGGCTGAATGAATGTGAGGAGAGAGGAGCCAGCCAGTCACCAGGTTAGTTACAGACGGCCCCAGACACTCACCGTCACTAATCTCCTTCTTCTGTACTGTACCATTCAATGATTTTTATATTTATTTACTATATTCATTCTTTATTACTGATCTCTATCAGAATGAAGCTCCATGAAGTAGGCAGTTTGACCAGCTTTGTTCACTGTTGAATCTCCAGCTAACTGAACAGCGTCTGAGACTGTCAGTGGATTGGAACTCACTTCAGTGTGTTGCACGATCTGTAAGAATTTTGTATGTATGCAACGACCTTAGTTTAGATAATCATGTGTTACTCAAAAATAGATTTCAGATTCTCTGATAGATATTTTCGTGACTCTGTGACCTTGAAAAAGGCAAAATCTCTGCCTGAATCAGCCTAACCAGTGGGGGCACATCCCTGTGATCCTCACCTGCTCCCGGGACATTGCCAGGTGGCGTCTGAGCTCTGCCTTTCTCTTCCTGGTCAGTATTGGGAAATCACAGGAGGACTTTTGTCAGGATCATAAAGCCATTGAACTCATGATTTGAAAGAGTTTCTTCTCCCAAAGTAGGAACTGAAAAATTCTACTATTAGATTCAGGCATTTCAATATGTGGTCTCCCAGCGAGAGGGAGTGGAGTGGGTGGGAAAGAGAGAGAGAATCAGCAAGGGATATAGAAGATTTATACAACGCTGTTTACACTTTGACATAACTAACATTTGTAGGACAATGCACCCATAGTAACCAAGGACAAAATTTTTTAATATGTCTGGAAAATTAAGCAGGATTCTCTCTACTCTGGACCTTAATCAAATATCACAAAATTAAAAGGACTGGAATCATAAAAAGCATGACCAGACAATAACATTTAAACCACTACCTAAAGAAATGTGGAAAATCTCAATAACTTGAAAATTGAAGAGTACATTACTTCGAAGTAAATGGGAGCCAATGAGGAATCACAACATAAGTGAGAAAATACTGACATTTATTAACACAAAACAAAACATCAAAATTTAATGACTGCAGCTAAAGCAGTGCTTTGAGGAAAATTTATCATTCTAAACGCTGAACATTAAAAATGAAGAAAGATCTAAAATAAACGGCTTAAGCTCTCACCTGTTAAAGGTAAAAAAAGAAGAGAAAATCAAACCCAGTAAGTAAAGGAAGACAAAAATATCACTAATCACCCAGCATTAATTAATAGCATTATGAGGAAATATAACAAGTAATGAATGCCAACATTTTACATGATTTCAATGAAGCAAACAAAATCCCTACCAAAATCCTCACACAGGGCTGTCCCCACACAAATGAGGCCATCTTGGCTTTCATCCTCACAGCCTCCTTCCACTACATCTTCAGAGCCTCCCTTCTTCACCTTGATCTAACATGTATGTGCCTATTTACCTTGTGTTCTTGCGAGGGGTCCCAACTCTTGGAAGCTGGGATGGGAGAGCTGAAGGGCATTTCTATAGCTGTTCCTCATGATCTATTCACTGTGATTTTTTCCAGTTATTTTGTTGTGGTAAAACATGTATGACTTAAAATTTGCCATCTTGGCTGTTTTTACGTGTCCAGGTTATCTCAGAATCCTCTGTCTGTTCAATATGAATTTTTATTTGTCCTGCATTGGGAAGCAGAATTGGGGAGAATATTTATCATGAACTCTTGCTTAGAATTTTACATCTTTTTATTTTGTAGATTTCTTCCATGCAGCCTAGGTGGGTCTTCATTTTATGTTAAATCTGACAGTCTCTATCTCTTAATTATGATATTTAGACCATTTACAATGAATATACTTGTTAATGTATTTTTATATCACATCTTATTATTTATATTCTTTGTCCCATCTGTTCTTTGTTCATCTTTTTTTAATCTGTTTCTTCTTAATAAAGTTATGTTACAATTCCATTTTATGTCCTTTTTTGTCTTACTAACTTTAACTCTTTGCCATCTTATTATCTGTAACTTGACAAGGCCTACATTCAGGTGATATTATATCACATCACATATAGTATAAGAACCTTATAAGATGCTTCCATCTCTTCTCTCTCACTCTTTTAGCTATTGGTGTCAAACATTTTACTTCTACGTGCATTATAAATTTCAACATACATAGTTATTTAATTTTGCTTTACTCAGTAAATTATCTTTCAAAAACTATAAATAATAAGCAAAACTCTTAATATTCATCCCTGTAGTTAGCATTTCCAATTCTCTTTATTCATTTTTGTTGATTCAGATTCTTTTTGGTATCATCTTCTTCTGCCTGACAAGTGTTCACTAAATATTTCCTGGATTGCAGGTCTGCTCATGACCTATTCTGACAGTTTTTGCATGTCTAAAGAATTCTTTTATTTAGCTTTCATTTTTATAATATATTTTCACTGGGTAAAGAATTAAGATTTTTTTTCTTTCAAACATTTTAAAGATGTCAAGCCACTGTCTTTCGCTTACATTCTTTCCAATGAGGAATCTGGAGGATTCCTTATTTTTGTTCCCTTGATAATAGTGTCATTTCTCTCTGGCTGCTTTTAAGATTGTCTTGTTTTTACTGTCTTAAACAATTTGTTGCTGTGGTGTTTTTTTCAGTGATGGTGTTTGTTGAAACTTTTGGATCTGTGGGATTAGAGTTTTCATAGAATTCAGAACATTATTGGCCAATATTTTTTCAATACACCTGCACCATCTTCTGTCATTGAGAGACTTCAATTACATCCCTAAGACTTTGCTTAAAGTATTTCTACAAATGAGTGTTTCTTTGTTTATTTTTTAAAGCAGCTGGGACACATGTCAGTATTTCCTTTTTCAGTGTACTTTTTGTCAAAGAGTTAGTTTCTATTGAAACCCAAGAATCTCTGTCCGTTGACATCCAGGGCCTTGCAGACACATGTTCACTGGTTCATGCGATGGGATTTCCCATCGGCTGTGTGGATGGTTCCTGCACCATCCTCACCATCAAAGCTTCCAGCACTGTCATTGGGCTTCTGAAGAAATGGGGAGATTGAGAGAAAAAAACAAAATAGTGAAACTGGTACTCATGCTCTGGTATCAGACGTCCCTCCAGGCTGACTCCCTCAGCCTCACCCAGCAGAGATGCTTCCATTCTGCCTGTAGCCATGGAAAATGAATACAAGGAGAAGGTCCCCAGCTTAGCCTGGAGCATTTCCTGATGAGCCCCAGGGAATGCAATTCAGAGCCCAGTGACCAAATCCAAACCCAACAAGGAAGTGGGGTCAACCCCAATAGGGTCAGCTCTGCTTGATGCAGGTGATGGGGACTTTGGGGGCAGTGGGAGGGCAGTTTTGCCAGGAGAAAGTCCCCAGGAGGGACCCTAGGTAGTGTCTACACTTCCTCTGCAGTGTCTCTAAAATCTTAGGATATAAACAACCCCAGGAGGAGCAGAGGACTCTTCTACATATCTTTGAATGCTTCACACAGCCAGTCCAGATGTCAAGGATGCCTCATTCAAGAACCTCTACGGGGCTGGTCCTACTAAAGGAAAAGGAATTCCAGCAGGGCTGCCCCATGTAAGACATCTCTCTCCTCTCACAGGACACTTAATTATATGTGGAAACTATGTGATGAATTTCTACACCTTTTGTGTCTAATACAAACCTGCCCACAGTCCCCATAGCCAGAACAACCCCCAATCCTGCCATTTCTCAACAGGATAAACTGAGGCCCTAAGAAGACAGAGAACCTCCTGAGAGTCCCAGCCCTGGAGAGGCTGGGCCAGGACCAGAAAGGACACCTGAGCCTAAGTCCTGACCTACAGCTGCTCAGAGGGCGGGTGACAGTGAGGGCCAGGTCAGGGCAGGGAGGTTTGCATCCTACTTCCCCATCTGTCTGTGTCACCATGAGTCACTGACTGATGCTCCTGCTGCCATCACATACAGTACAGTAATAGTCAGCTTTGTCCTTGGCCTGGGCCCTGCTGATGGTCAGGGTGGCTGTGTTCCCTGAGTTGGAGCCGTAAAATCGGTCAGGGATCCCAGAGGGTCGGCTGCTATCACTATAGATGACCAACTCTGGCTTCTGCTGGTACCAGTAAGCACTTTTCCTTCCAATGTTGTTTCCCCCATAGGTGATACAGGGTGTCTGTCCCATGGCCACTGACATGGAGGACAGCTGAGTCAGCTCATAAGAGCCCACAGAGCCTGCAAGAGAGCAAAGAGGAGATGTATCTCATCCTTTGGAAATCCTCTGCCTGCTTGGCCTGGCCTGAGTTCCTGGGTATCTGTGGACTCACAAGATGTCTCCCCACCTCATCACTCTCAGCCCATTGGCCTATGGGTCTGACTAGTGGATGGAGCCTTTGTAAAAATGAGAACCTCCTCCTCCCTTTCTCTGGGCAGGTGCAGTCCCTCAGGGCTCACACAGAGCCAGTGAGCACAGTGGAGGGATTTCTGTCCCACCAACCCACCATCCTGCAGCAAGTTCATGAGGATCCTGTCCGCCACCCTGCTGAGCTCAGAGTCAGGGCCAGGCTTGTCCCAGAGCCTTGGGGCTGGAGGTGGGCCTGGGGGAAGCACCTGTGCAGTGAATGAGGAGGCCGAGGAGGAGAGGGATCCTGGCCATGATGGAGGTGCCCCCAATTCTGCTCCCTGAGGCCTAAGGCTGGGCAGGTTTCCTCCTAGGCCTCTCTTATCTCCTTGCTGGAGAGAGCTTCTGGGTACGCAGATCAGCCAGGGCTCAGGGGCTGCTGCTTGAGGAGCTTTCTGGTTTCAGAGAAGTACTCAGCCCCAAGGGACACAGAGAGGGGACAGAAATCCATGAAGAAATCAGACCAGAGGATTCTCCTCCTCTTGCTGGTCCCATACTCTGGGTCTGACATCCCCACTTGTGTCCTGGACTCACTCCTGGGCTGGCCTGACCATGGCAGAGTTCAGAGGTGAAGTCTGTGTTTTCTGAACCAATCATAGAATGTTAACTATAGAGGTGACCATACAAGGCTTAGATCAGTGCAGTGTCCTACTGCTGATCACAGTTTCTGAGCATCAGAACCTGCATGTGCCTCTGGTCCTGAGCCACCTGTCTACTGTCCTGAGTGGGTGACCAGTCACTGCTTTCCCTAAATTTCTACAGATTTGCTGATGTGAATAGGAGTATGGAATTTTGAGAGTGTTCTTGGCAGGGAAGGAAGGGGCCGAGAGAGGCAGTGGGAGTCCCAAGGTCACTTGGGGATGAAGAGAGAAGAGAGAGGTCTTATGTCCTAAATAATAACCTCTTATGAATGTTCTAGAACCTGCCTGGGCTTGGAGAGGGGCTCTGGGAAAGTCCTTACCAAAATTTTTGGGTCTCTGATGAAGAGTCTCCCTCTCAGTTCTCCCAGATGCCTGTGGGGGCGCAGCTGCACCTTGACCTGGGCCAGTCATGCACCTGGGAGGTCGGTCAGCTTCCTGCTTCCTTTGGGGCTGATCAGAAACCCCAAGGACACCATTTTCCAGAAGGAAGTAGAGTGACATTTTCATAGTCTTTACTGTGGAAGAATCCTGGAATTATTCCTTAGGTCTTAGGGATCTGGTGCATAAAATATCATCTATCGACTGCTCATGGTCCATTAGCATGACATGTCAACTATACATTTAATCATCCAATTATAATTGTCAATAATTTTTTAACAGTATATGATTTTTTTCCATGTATAGTCCCCATCTCTCACATTGGACCTCAGCTCTCATATGTGACACAAGTGTATGTGGAGGGAGCTTCTGGTTTTTCCTTTCAAAAAACTCCACACTTAAAAATTTTGTATTTTGGGGGGCTGGCCCCGTGGTCGAGTGGTTAAGTTTGTGTGCTCCACTGCAGTGACCCAGGGTTTAGCTGGTTTAGATCCTGGGCGCGGACATGGCACTGCTTGTCAGGCCACACTGAGGCAGCGTCCCACATGCCACGACTAGAAGGACCCACAACTAAATATACAACTACATACTGGGGGGATTTGGGGAGAAAAAAAAAATTGTGTATTTCCCATGTGGACATTTGCCCTGCTAAGACTCTGTCTTTCCCTGTGTTGTGGGAGATCTTTGTGCCTCTTGTTCAGGTTGTCACATGGGTGTTAAACATCCTCCAGAAAATGGGCTTTATGTGTATAGGTTCACCATTTTTCTAGGTCATCCAGAAATTTCTTCACTGTCCCTCTAAGAGTTTGGATGCTGGCCCTTTGTGAGGAAAACCATGCTCTCTGAGATGTCAGATTTTGTTTTTCTTCAGACAGGAGGGTGAAACATATCCAGCCAATGATTGATGGGTCAATAGCCATCCAGACTCAACCCAGTTACACCCAGGACCTTGTTTCAGATGAAGATTAAGCCTTTGGTATAAGTGAAATATGTAACTGTGAAGGTTGGGGTTGTACTTTGAAACAGAACAGGTTTACTGGATGGGAACCATCATTTACAACACCTACACATGTTACACCATGATATTGGTGAAATGTTTTCATTCATCAATTTGGATAAAGAAGCAGTTGTTTGCAGTTTCTTACACAAAACTCACCATATGCTACCTGTCTTCAATGTGCCAACTCATTGCATGTTGAAACGTGGACTTTTCATTTCCGTCCTGCTCCTCATCCAGGCACCATCCCCCCTACATGGTGGCGTCACTAGGTTCTCACCAAACATGTGATCCTTGCTGTTCTGGGAAAAATCTTCTGCTACTAATTAACTTACTCCCTGAGACTCTCCCCTCAAGATCACTTTGAAAACATAATCTTTCCTCTGTTTGTTTTGAGACTCCTAAGCCATTTAAAATAATAATCACCTGGACTTGTGAAATGGCTGTGATTGGCAGTTAAGCATCTCTTTATTTGTGCTCCAGCCATGGCTGCATTTGTGGGATGTTTTCCACAAAAGGCGTGCAGTAGACGTGATGCTTATAGTCAAGCCTGGGTAACACCCCGAGATGAGCAAATCTCACTGTAGCCTGGACTCCATCCCTCCTCGCACTAGTGCAGTGGAAACAATGTCTGCAGTTCTGCATCATCACCCTAATCAGGATTGTCCTTACGCCCAGACCCAAACCTCCTCTCCCTCCTCACACCTCATCTTCAGAAATCACCAATTTGGACATCAGGCATGTTTGTAGAACACAAACACTAATAAAATACAAAATAGACAGACATAATATATTACCAAGGGAGAAGGTGGGAGAAAATGCAAACTTCCCAGTTCCAGTCACTTCTCCCCAACGTGATTCCTGTTTACAACATGTGCATGGATGGGGTGGGGGCTGGGCATGAGATACAGCATGGGAAAACTCTGTGTGTAAAGTTACACACTCATCTCTTCAACTTCCCATCTGCCCAGTAGACCTTGTCCACTTTTATAGACCCTGACAGCACCATCATCAGCCCCCTTCTACCCCTCTCTGCAATTCAGTGCCCAGCAGTCATGAGTGATCTCCCTGTGAGTCCCTAAAACTTAAAATTGACTCAACAGGTGAACACAGTCCTATTGTGTACGATGAGCGTGGTCCTTTCTTAGGGAACTTTAAGAAAATTTCGTGGAAGCCTCTGGTTCAAAAGAATCTGGGCTGAGAAATGATAGATCAGAAACAGCTAACAACCAAATGTGGGAGTGTGAATCTTAGGATACTGCTTGGTTTAAAAACTAAACAGCTATTATAGATATTCTTGTGCAACGGGGGAAATGCGACTATGGACCAGGCAGAGTATTGTTGTTAGCATTCTCATATATGATAACAATATCAGGCTGAGTAGAAAAATATGTATATTTATATTTTTGTGGACAGATGGGAAAGAGAAAGAGAGACCAGTAGGGTCCAAAGTTTGCAGTGTGGATTCTAGGGAGAGGATTTATGAGTGTTTACTGTACTATCCTCTCAAATTTCCTGTATGCACAAATGTATGAAAATTAAAATAGTTTGACTACTGAAGAAAGGGAGAAATTGAGAGACAAAATAAACCCCAGTGAGTCTGGTGCTCTTTGTCTGATGTCAGACATTCCTGCAGGCAGAGAACCGTAGCCCTGCAGAGCAGGGACTCCCTCATGCCTATAGCCTTATAAAGTGGAGAGGAGGAGCAGATCTGGCCCTTGACATGGAGGGTTTCCTGGTGAGTGCCAAGGAAAGCAGTCCAGAGCATCATGATCAAATAAACCCACAGGGACCCAAGGTCAACCCCAATAGGGTCAGGCGTGCCTGGTCCAAGAGACAGGACTTTGGGGGAAGTGGGAGGACAGTGTGGCCAGAAGAAAGTTCCCAGGTGGGATCCAAGGTGGTATCAGTATTTCCTCTGCACTTTCTGTGACATCTCAGCATAGGAAGGGCCCTGGAGCCAGTAGGGAGGGCCTGGGACAGTCTATTAGGATGCAGGAGATGCCTCATGCAGGGAACTAGTCAAGATGCAGCCCCTGGGGCCTCCTCTGTGCTGGTTCTACCCAAACGAAGGGGAATTTCAGCAAGACTGGACCATCTGTCACAGCTTTCCTCTCCTCTGTGACACATAGTTACATCTGGGGCCCATGTGATGTATCATGACTTCCTACACCTTTCTTGTCTACTCTAATCCTGACTTCAGTCTCCATGGCTCAGACTATCATTCACACTCAATTTTTGATCAGGATAAACAGAGACCCTGAGAGGACAGAGAACCTTCTCAGAGTCTCTTAGCCCTGGAGTGTCTGGGTCAGGAACAGAGATGCCTGAGACTAAGGCCTGACCACAGCTGCTCAGAGGGGTGGTAAGAGTGAGGGCCAAGCCAGGGCAGGCAGGTTTCTGTCCCACTTTCCCATCTGTCTGCATCACTATGAGTCACTGCAAACTGCTCCCACTGCCATGGTAGGTGGCACAGTAGTAGTTACCCTTGTCCTCAGCCTGGGACCCATTAATAGTCAGGGTGGTGGCGTTCTCAGATTTTGAACCCAAGAATCAAACAGGGATCCATGAAAGTCACTTGCTGGCCTCACAAGTGACCAGCACAGGGGCCTGGCCTGGCTTCAGTTGTGACCAAGATGTATATTTATCCCCCAGGTCATCTCCAGAGCAGGTGATTGTGGTCATCTGTCCCAGGGCCATCTACACTGAGGGTGGGTCCCTCAGCTCCTAGGAGTCCACAGAACCTTAAGAGAGGAGAGGAGAGGGGGCTTGAAGTGAAGGGCCCAAACCCAGGAGGTCACACCCTGACACTGTGCCTGGGCTGAGCTCAAGGTTTGGGGCAGGCCGAGCTCAGATTCCTGTGCTGGCTGAGCCTGCCAGAAGAGCCAGAGGGTGTGGAGGGGCAGCAGGACAGGGGCCCAGGCCATGGTGGAGATGCCCCAGAGCTCTGTCTCCTGAAACACCCCAAACTGGACAAAGCTCCCCCAGGCCCTGTGCTCACCCAAAGGCAGAGCCTGCCCAAGTAGGGAAGTCAGATAAGCCCTCACTGGCTCACAGAAGAGGCTGTTTGAGATTTTGAGAGGAGACAGGCACCAAAGGAAATAGAGGGGAGGGAATCTACCATTTAGCCCTCACCCTCGGCCCCGCAAACTCCTCTTCCTGGGTCCAGGAGACTCTGTCACAACCTCAGGGCCTCCATGGAGGTTCCAGCATGGCTTGTCCTGTGATGGTCACTACCAGCTCAGCCTCAGTTCTGACCTCTGTCCCTGGTATGCTTGGCACGTGGTCAACTGAGAAAGGATCTGTTCTTCCTATGGGGAAGGGAGAC